AAACTTTACTGGCATACACCCGCAGGCCCCCGTCATCAGCTATGATTGACATCAGTTCACGTTCTCCAAGTAAAACAATTAATTTGACCAATCTAAAAAAACGGTTCTTGCTTCTATTGTTGAGGAGGTGCAGCCACTGTCTAACGTTACTGTAGAAGCGACTACATTTCATAATATAGTACGATTTTTTTCTCTTTTGGGAAACGACTTATACATTTTTTAAGGCCACGTGAAGTAATTTATTTAATGTATAAAGCTCGACGATTTATTTTGATTTAAGGATTATCATCTTACTGTTCATTTTGTTATAAAACATTTTTAATAGAGGTTTAAAAGGTTTAAAAAGGTTTATAAAGGTTTAAAAGTTTTTGCCTTACTTTTTTGTACTCTTAGACTTTATTGCAGTCTTTATGTCAATGGACAGGGAATTTACTTAACTAATAACACAAAACATTCAAAAGTAGCAAACACATTACTTCAAACACTGTAATTAATCTGTATATACAGCATATATAGCTCTACATTCAGAAAGTTAAAAAAAATATAATTTTATCCTACATTTTTTTAAGTAAAAAAAAAAAAAAAAGTGTAGGTGGTTGTTAAATGCAGAGCTTCTCTATAAAAACAGTGAAAAAACACTCGCAGGTTCTGAACCTAGCCAGGTAAGGAAAAGTAACGCAAAAATAACTCAAGTTTAAAATAACACATTACTATCTATAATAAAATTTTTTTAAAGCAATTAGTTACTTTTCTGGGAGAGTATTGCTTAATATTGAATAACTTTAACAACACTGCTGGCCAATATGATCCTTCTTCCTAAAATTTTGCAATGGTAGTAAGAAGCACTCTTTCCAGTGTAAATGTTGTGCTTGTACAGTAAGATATGAAACAGAGACATAAGTCAATAATACAGCTAGGAGGTCACCATATAAAAACACTAAAATATTAAGCATTTAAGAGTATAATTTAAGAGTATAACTTCTAATATTCTCTCCGTCTATGAAATGCAATATGTGCATGCGTGTATATGAACGAAGAGGTGGCAGATGTGTGTGATTGGTGTAAACATCTCAGTGCAGTGGAGTGAGACTGATGTAGCTCAGTGAATATTTAACATATCTCTGTCTCCTGACGATTCCCCACGGCCCCTCAAAATCCGAACAACAGCAGCCCGGGCCCCTGCATCACTCACCCTCGCGCCACAGCTGCAAACGCCCGCAATTTACAAAAGTACTGTTGGCTTTAGAGCAGTGAATTAGGACAATCTCTCTCATAGCGTAGGTCTGTATGTTTTTTGTTGTCAGACGGCTTCTTTGAGGATCGGCGCTGGTTGTGATCACCGCGGATGTGAACAACAGATGGTAGGAAACGAATCAGCCATGGTTTTGTGCATATTGACGGAAACAAAGAAGTACAAAAGAAAAACAAAAGTGACATGTAAGTATATGTAACCTTGCTGTAGCTGGGGGTGGATTTTACTTTTTAATTATAACTGATGAGTTTGACTGCAAAAACTGGATGGATGAGCCACATTAAAGTTGCCGCCAAGAGCCAATGAACACGAGCATCTGTGCAACTGCACATCATTTAGATTATATATTAATATGAAGTTGCTACAAGCAATTTAAAAAGGCTACAGGCTAAGCTAATTAACTTTGTTACTGAGTGGATGAATTGTGAATACTGTGATTACTTTTTAAAAATTTTAACAGATTTCTGAGTGTTGAGCATCAGTAAAGACATCAGTAGCATCTGTTGGCTTTAAAAGTGGGGAAAACTGGATAATTTTGAGCGTTTGTCAGCTAATTTCATCTTCCGGGTTTAAAATAATTTTTGGGGTGGAATCAAAATTAGTGACAGCGCAAATCTGCTAGTGAAGTGATGAAGTGTCTGTTTGTCTTTATTTATAGCAGAGTTTTCTTATTCTATGAGAAGACTCTGCTTCTTAATTATGCATGAGAGCACGTGCTTTCCGGAAGCAAGACAGACATGCCAAGCTGTAAGACCCAACGACTGGATGAGACCCCACATGGCACAGGTCATATGTGTTTGTTTCCATGATTCACAGGGTTTGTTGCATTTTTTTCACAGTGCTTCTATCAGGGCTGATACAGCAAAGCTGTTGGTTTGCAGCCAGCATTTTTGTTGAGAGAGCTGTATGAGGACTGGAAAATGGCAAGCAATCAGAATGAAGAAGTTCACCGCTTGAGAGGAGTTCAGAGAAAACAGACCTGTGAACTTTGGTTTCGACCACAGTTGTTCCCAAGGGTTTGATTATTGCGGTCGCCGGATTTTCAATTATTTACAATGTTTTCTTACAAGAACATACATTAAATAAGTAACTGGCCAAATACTTATGTGCATTAATGTTAAATATATTTATCTTTAAAAAAGCGGGAATCTACAAAACAGTACTGCTGCTTCGAGATATTTCAAATAAATGGACACACTGGATAATTAAATGGAGCAAAGACACACCACATGCAACTTTATCTTACTTTGTTAAATGAATTTGATAAGAAGTGCTCAACATTTTCATGCTAGAAAACATGTTTTATGAAGGAATGTAACTGATATGCTGCAACAGAACCTTTAAATACGAGATCAATGTAACGAATTTTGACGCTTTCGCCGCCGGAGCTGAAGGCAGACAGCGTTGTCGCCACGGCGGCCAGAGTGACCTTGCACATTCTCACTGCTTTCGGTGTGAATGCACAGTTAGAAAGTTTTTTCAGTTCATTTCCTTGATTCATTTCACAGACTTTAAGAATTTATAAATAAAAGCATAAACATTAAAAAACAGCTGAACAGTAGAAATCTAGGTGTCATTTTAATTCTAACTCATTCATTCATTCATTTTCTATCAGCTTAGTCCCTTATTTATCAGAGGCCGTCACAGCGGAATGAACAGATAATTATTCTGGCATATGTTTTACGCAGTGGATGCTCTTCCTGCCACACCCCAGTACAGGGAAACACCCATGCACTCATTCAAACACACTCATACACTACTACAGTATATGCCAATTTAGTCAATCCAATTCACCTATAGCGCATGTCTTTGGACTGTGGGGCAAACCAGAGCACCCAGAGGAAAACCACGCCAACACAGTGAGAACATGCAAACTCCACACAGAAATGCCAACTGGCCTAGCTGGGACTCGATCTAGCAATCTTCTTGCTGTGAGGGGACAATGCTAACCATTGAGCCACCGTGCTGTCTTAATTCTTTGTTGTATATGGGTGGAATTAGGAAATCCACTAACAGTCAATAGTCAATCGTCTAATAACATTGTAAAGAATGTATTGAAGCTATGTTTAGTTACTCTCATGAAATAGCCACAATAAAAACTTTCGTTATTTTGAATTAAAAAACTAAAACGTGCTAATTTTTCTGTTTTCATTATTAAATCGAAGCAATGCATGAACTTAAAGCTCACACGCACCTCAAACCCATAGGTCTGTATGCTTTTTTGCTGTCAACCGGCTCCTTTGAGGGCTGGTAGTAATCACCGTGGATGTGCATAACAGATGGTAGGAAACGAAACAGCCATGATGCTGTGTGTACAACGCAAGTAACAAAGAAAGTAAGAAAGAAAAATACACACAATTCAAAGTCGCATGGAAGTATACATAACACACGAGCGTGTTTGAGTGTCTGAGGATCTGTACGTGATTAGATTTACTGTGGAGATTAAATGCTGGGGCTGTAGTTTGTGGGGTAGATTGAGCCCCCCGTGTCTCCAACATCTGGTGCGCAGTTGTGCACTGCAGAGCCTCGCCGCACTGTCATCGCATTCCCTCACGCAAACATAACCGTGCGTACACAAACACAATCGACCGTCAGTCCGTTTTTCCACACTCATTAACTCACTGGCTTTGATCCTTCCCAAATGTCTTTCATCCGCTTTGATTATCGTCTCTTTCACTCTCGTTCATTTCTGGCCCACAGGCTCCGTAAACGTGTGCCAGTATCGCACCGAGCACCGCCGATGACACATGAAGCTTTCATCCCGGATTTCATCTTCCGCCTGCAAAAGTGCCACAGACTAACCCTGAGCCAGCACCAGCTCTCCGTCTGACTTTTCATCATGCCTTCTTTCTCCTGCAGTGTTGCCATGCTAATAAACCTGGGCACTGAGCCCCGAGGCTTCCCCTGGCCTCCACCCACATTCTCCTTTCTAGCAACTCTTTTAATGCTCGCTCGCCCCTGGCGCTCCTGCAGACACAGAGCCATGAAGACAGCCCGTCGATTACTGCCCCTCGGCCTGCCGCTTTATAGAGCCCAGGCCAGGTCCAGAGGGAGCAGCCATGTGTCCTTTCGGCTGATCATCATGCTGTGACAGGTAAAAGATTCAGGAGCAGAAGATATGAAGGGCATCGAGGACAGAGAGCAGAGATGCAAGTGACACGGCGACTGCTTTAGCCAGGGGGTGGTGTGTTTATTTTTTAATTAAAACAGATAATTCTGGCGCTAAAATCTGGATGGGTGTGCCAAGTTAAGTTTGCTGCCAACAGCCAATGGATTCACATATTGGTGTGATCGTACATCATTTGCATTATATATTGCTACAGGCAATGTAAACAGCCTTTGGCTAGGTTAATGAACTTTATTACTCAGCAAATTAATTGTTTATCATGATTATTATGAATCTGATGTGTCATGTGAAACGGCATACTGTTAAAAATCTAAGAATAGAGAAAAAAAAGCAAATCCATAGAATCGAAGTCCAATAAAGCTAATGTAATACTCTAAAAAATAAATAAATAAAATAAAGTAAAATAAAATAAAATTAAAAGTAAATAAAATAAAATAAATCAAAATAAAAAATAAATAAAAAATACAATACAATAAAATAATAAAAATACTAAAAATAAAAAATGTAATTAAAATAAAGTTCAATTTAAACAAAACAAAACAAAACAAAACAAAACAAAACAAAACAAAACAAAACAAAACAAAACAAAACAAAACAAAACAAAAATAAAATGGGTCTTACCTGGCAAGTCACAAGCCAGTATCTCCATTCTCATCCCAATGCCAGCGGGCGACCACCTCTCCGGATACACCCTGATAAACTGGGCCACAATCTCATCAAATCGACGGATCTCTGGGGTGTCGTAGTGTGTGTTACCCTCAAAAATCTGGAGGAACAAAATCGCAAAAACACTTTAGCACAGCTGTGTGATTGAAAGAGCAAAGCTACTGGATATGCTCTATATTTCCGAGTCTCTGACGCATCTCTGCAGCTCAGGTTTTAATTAACACAACTGTGGATGATTTCACTGGAATGTTATCAAAGCTCGCAGCATAATTGAATTCTGCTCTCAGAGTGGGAGATTGGGAATCTAGAAGTGAAATGCTGAGTCGCTGAGACGAGCAGGAAAGAATGAAATGAGTCTGTTAATAATCTGATTCTGGCAAACTGTTCATTACTGTAGCCTTTTCAACGACCCGAGATATTTAAATTTGCACGATTAACTAATTAACCTAATTCAACTCCAGTTACTTTATTTTTAGTTCAGTCCTGCTCAGCTAAAAAAGGCTTTATATATCGCGCTGAAGGTCATCAATGTTCTTTTACTGGTTTAAGGAGGTCTGTTCATGGCCTGTTTGTAGCTGTTGCTATTTTTGATTAAATCAAGAGTTATTGAGAAAGACACATTCTCTGAATGGGTGTATGTATGGACTTTTTTCTCGTCTTTTAATAAGTATTTTTAATTGTAGTATTTACAATTAGTATTGTAAAGTAAGTCCACGCAATTTACATCTAAGCAAACAATGAGATATTGAGAGCAGCAGTTATTGTTTCTGTTCACCAAAAGAATCATGAATTTGGGGTCGAATCAGGACTGGCAAAATAAAAATGTTTGGCTTACAAACCAACAGTAGTGTAAAGTAACAAATTACAAAAACTCAAACTACTGTAATGAAGTAGTTTATCAGAGAAATTGTGATTTATTAATTTATTATTCATGATTTTTTAAATGTGCACTTTTACTTTTTTAGTGCTGTATCAGTACTTTTACTCCACTACTTTCATTCAGCCTGCAGTCACTACTTTACTACCTGTCTATGGGGATTAGAATAATCAGTCCTGTGACTCCTGTTCAATCAAATCCCACATAGAAGATAAATCACATCATAAGAAACTACCCCAAGACATGGGTGATTTATAATTGCAACAAACTGTTTGGAAGCATTAAAAGTGTCCAAGATGTTCAAAATCTTTACACGCAATGACCCAGAGACTGTTTAGATGAATGTCACTGATGAGAAGATGATGGATGTTTACTGTATGATGACCAAAATGTCCTTAAACACCCAGCAGGTACAAGAAGTAAACATCATTTCAGATTTGGCAAACATGGCGTCAGATTTGGCCCCAGGTAGCAGCAGATTTTGGCGCAAATTTGGCATGAAGCTGGCACAGCAGGAATTCATCCGGCTCTGGCATACAGGATGTGGGCCAAACATGGCCCAGATTTGACAGAGGTTGCACCATATTTAAGGTGGCAAACAATACTTGGGCCAGACGACAAATGTATTATTTGGCCCAAATGTAAAAAAAAATATTTGTGGGCCATGTAAGTTTGGCCTGTCTTGACCCACATTTAATATATATATATATATATATTTTTTTTTTTTTTTTTTTTTTTTTGAGTAAAGAAATATTTAGAAGTACAAAGTCATTTCCATCTCCCTGTTTGCATCTTCTGATGCCTTCATTTTAATCCAGGAAACAATCACTATTTATAAATCTGTTGTATCCTGTATGTTGCAAAATAACCGAATTTTACCTGCATTACATATAATTGATTAACAAATTATATTATTATTAACCATTACAAACCATTACCATTATTAACGTGCCTAAATCGCAATGCTTCATGAGTTTATCAATTTCATCGCAGTCGTTGCAAACCAAATAATGACAATGACCAAACATGTTCCATAGCTGGCCCAGTTCAGGCCGAGTTATGGGTTATTAACTTGGCTGAGACTAGGCCCATATATGACTTGGTCCAGTCATGTACCGTAATTCACTGCAGCATATGGGCTTTTACTCGCATTACATTTTTGGCAAGTAATTGTACTTTAACTTAAGTAGGATTTTTCAGTACTCTTTTTACCTCTGCAAACCAGTTTCAAAATCAATTTCATACATCAAAGTTAAAATCCCACCTGGTTAGCGTAAGTCAACAGCTTACAACAATTCCGTTTATTGTAAGAATAAGGTTAGTAATGTAAGAGCAGATCATCTTGTAGTAGCTCGAGTCCGATCAAATACAAGAGCATCTACACTGCAAAAAATGTGATCTAAAACATTTTTTTTATTATCTTTAAAGTGGTCAATCAATCAATCAATCAATCAATCAATCAATCAACCAATCAATCAATCAACCAATCAATCAATCAATCAGACAAAAAAAACTTATGATTTTTCTTTAAAGCATTGGTCTTCACCTTTGGGAGATTAGTTTTAGGGTCGATGATGTAGCTCAAGTCTTTTCCATTCAAGCTATGGGCCAGTTTATACTTTCGCACGAAGGCACGATTTTCTGCGCTGGTACTACCATCCACTCCTCGGGCTCCTTGTGTGATGATACCCCGTACTGTTTTGGGGACTCCCAGATCTACCTGCAGCCATTCTTCTCCAGCCACGGGCTGTGTGGGACTGGGGAACCACCCTGAGCGACTGGCCACCAGCCGTGCGGCACCTGTGGCCCCATGGATGTCCCTCATGGAGGAGGCAGAGATCTGGGAATCCGGAAGAAGGCCAGAGAGCATTCCCTGCATCTCGGAGCATGGAGCGTCTGGATGAGGGATAGACAAGCAGATGAGTTATGGTGAAGCAAAGAGGAATTGACATTTTAAGGCTGAAGAGATCAATGTTTCATGTTGTTATGTCATGAGAGAGGCCTTAGGAGTAAATAATAAATAAATACAGCATGTGTGGGTGCAGTTTTTTTTTTTTCATGTATACATCCCCCCTGGAGTGGGTGTTTGTGTGTAGGATTTATTACAGGAAGAATTTCGTGTTCTAGTTTCGCTAGGTTCACCTCAACAGAGTTAAAAGCAAACCCACTCAGCCCAAAACAGCCATTCTCTGGCTCAACCGGCACAAACACAAAAGCTACCAGAAATAAATGATTGATTTTGGCCTATGGCTTAAACACAGAACAAAAAAAGAGGAAAACAGGCTGGGGCATCTGGTTCAAGCCCATCCTAACAATCTCAGCTGAATTACACCCAGAGGTACACCCGCCCACACTCCGACAGAAAGAGCAGTAAAACACGGATCGAGGCTAACGGCACCGACGTGATAGATGGTTTCACGGGCATCTTTATGGGCTCTGCACTGTCGTATATCCCGCGGGCTGAGCATCACTCTTTCGCAGGAAAGACAGGAAGGGCAGCAACACGCCTCACTGAAAGCAGCTTGTTCTGGGCTGGATGCCCAAGGGACAACAGCCCCCGCGGGACTAGAGTAGGTCTAATATGGGGGCCGGTGGCGTGTCCGTGCGTTGTTTGTGTCAGTGCTGAAAAAGACCTCGTCTCTAAAAGCACATTTGTCCTGCTCAGTGTCGACGAAAATAGGAGCGAATCACTGTTTAATAGCGTAATGATGGAGTGTGATGTCTCTGATAACATCAGTGCAAAAGCAGCTCACCTCCTTCATCTGCTGCAGGACATGCTAACAGAATTAGGTGACTGCTATCTCCCCATCTCCATAAATAGCCAAACTCAATCAGGACCCTAAAGAGCTCTGATAAATACACATCTAAGCTCACTTGACAGGGACACAGTAGGCGTCTGGAACGGTATCTGTCACATGCAGCATTTGATAGCCTGCTGGGCTCTAAAGTTCATATGAGATGGAGGAAACTTCTAGATTATATATACTTGGTTTGTGTACTAAGGATGCTCTAATCAGGATTTTTGCAGCCAATACCAAGTAGCGACTCCTTGTCATGGTAATCGACCAATACCAAATACAGATTCTGATCTTTCAAGCTATATAATGCATAAGGCACATTTTCCGTCTAAGTTGACTTAAGTAAAGTTTTTCCTTACCTAAGTATATAAATGAAGAATACTACATATAATCCCTTTAACATGTCTCTTTTAACCATTTAGCGTGGACATGTCATGGTCAGAAGGAGCTTTAGAGAAAATAATAGATATAACAGATTTAAAAATACTCTATTCTTACTTCACTGCTCTATTTATTTAACCTAACCAAAGTAATGCTTAGAACATCACTGTGCCTCTTTCCATCTGTTCTCTTGCTCATTTACTCTTGTCGCCATGATTTGCAGGGTATTTTATCTAATTTCCGGGCATCACTGTGCCGCTATGTCCTAGACGAGCGGAGCTTCCAGGACATGTTGGACACTAGACAGCAGCTCCAAACACTGGTGAGAGAGCATCATTCACGTGAGCTCCGCCAATAAACTGTATAAACAGAGATCGCACCACATCTGTATATATTTTATTTAGCTGTTATGACGCATGCGCATCGATTGCTCAAACTCCGAAACATCATTTACCTCCTTACATGTTGTAGGGCTGCTGATGTATAATATACGGGTGTGGACATGCGACTTCCTCAGCTTGTAAACTCATAAACACACCAGCAATCAGTTTATGAGACCTGTCATATTGGCGAGTACCGATCGAGTCATGAAATGTGATTATCAGTCGATACCGATCTTCGACTAATCGATTGGAGCATTCCTAGTGTGTACCTTGTGTTTCCTACATTGGGCGGATTAAATGTCCCACGTATAGCAATACCTGTAAGTGTTGACCTGGTAGGGTTGTAGGGCTTCTGGTGTATAATATACGAGTGTGGATGTGCGTCTTCCTCTGCTTTTAAACTCATAAACAAACCAGCCATTGTTTCATGACATCGGCTAGATTGGGAGTACCAATTAAGTCTTGAAATGTGTTTTTCGTCTGATACCGATCTTCAGCCGATTGATCGAAGCATCCCTAGTAGTGTGTACCTTGTGTTTTTCCCATTGTAGGGACCAAATGTCCCCACCTGTATAGCAATACCAGTGAGTGTTGACCTTGTGGGGACATTTTGGTGTAAATGAGTAAAAAAAAAAAATTTAAAAATGCTGTCAGTGTTGGGTTTTGGGGTGGAATTGGGATAGAATATACAGTTTGTACTTTAAGTAAATCACTAAGTCTCTGAAGGAAGTCTAGGATGTCCCCATAAAAAGCTGTACAAGTATGTGTCTGTTAGTGTGTTTGCAGGATTTCTTGCAGCCTGAGCAAAGCCGCCAATCATAGACATTTCTGCTTATTTCATAAAAGCAATGGCCAATCAGAAGTAATCAGTTCAAAATAGTCAGCCTCCAAGTTCAAGTTCTGGACAGTCAGGATTCCTTGCAAGTCACATTTTAGCAAGCAATGTGTGGACATAATGTAAATATTACATTCTTTCTGCAGTGCAGAGAGCTTTATTGATTAATGGAACTTTGTATATTGTGATGGACTGAACTATCTTTGTATGAAAGTCTGCTATTGTCTCATTTTACATTTAGTACATCCTTAATGTGAAACACTACATAGTAGTGTTCCCTTAAGGAGTGATGAAACATGGATTGTTTGCAGATTTAAAGAAAGTTTTGTGGTGTGAGGTTTACTGACCCGTGATTTGACAGCCGTAAAGTTCGAAGCGTAAAGCGATTCCATTCTTCCATGACTGAGGTCGGATGCGGACAAACCGAGCCAAGACGGGTTGGGGGATCCGGTTCAGGACCACCTCTGAGGGGTCTGCGTTCGCATGGAAAACCTAAGGACACACATAGAGGGAGGAAGAAAGAGAGAGAGATTTACAGCTATTCAGGAGGTGGTTAGGCTGAGGCCACTCATTCAAAAACAAACTAACCTCACAAACAAGCACAAATCCTCGCAGAGTGAGAGCTTATTTACCGGGGTCAAGTGAGATTGTGACTTTAATTGCAACAAAAATACACACACCACTGAATACACACAGAGACGCCAATGTTCACATCATAAATTCAAACATGAAACGCTGCTTCCTCCAGAATGAGTTAAAGACCACAGACATGAATGAGGGGGTTTTGAAGAATCACTCCATAAGCTTGAACGTTGTCACATAAAGACATAAAACAAGATGCAACCAAATGTTTTTGGGTGTTGTCAATGTTTACATCAATATGTCAGATGGATCACTGGTATTTCAGCAGGCAGTTCCCAGGGTGTTTTAGAAACATGTGCTTTAGCTTTTGCATCTTGGGGTGGCGAGGATGGACAAGATGACAAGCTCTGATAGCAATATCCATCTCTCCTCGTTCCTTGGAGACTCAAGCCTCTGTCATGGTCTTTGTCTCCAGAGAGAGGAAGTGGGAAAGGGGAGAAGGACCAGAAAAGGGCGAGTTCTGCTCCACTGCACACACAGAAACAAAGCCTGGACCCTAAGGACCTGACCCGTCTCCAGATCCAATGACATCCGGGCCAGCTGGTCTGGGTCAGGTCTGTGTACGGCTGGCTTGTGCGGATAGTGAATGAAGAGATTAAAGACGGGTTAGAAAAACTAAAAGCACAGCCTTCTGAAATTTGGTAAATCACCCTAATATATCATGAAATAAAAGCTTGAAACTGTGAACTGAGGACCTGCGATCATTAATCATTGCACATACGGTTGTTTAAAAGCAGTGGAGGCCTCGGGCAATTGTACAAATGTTTCACTTATTTCATCATAACTTAGAGACTACTACAAATCTACCTGTCATTTTTTTGTAATATGTAACGAACATAAGTGCCATTTTTTTTTTAACTATTAAAATATTAAAACTAAGAAATATTTGGACCCCCTTTATATTCAGTGGCCTTAAATATTAAGTTTATACATCAGGAAATGAATGTTCATAATGTACTGTATTGCAAAAAACGTCTGGTGCCTCTGAGGTGACTATGTGCCTTCTGTTTACGTCATGTATTTCTTTAGTTCAGTTTTCCCGCCAGTAGTTCCAACTGTGTCACACCCCTGTTTGTAATCTGTTTAATCATGTCTTGTGCATTTGTACCCCTGAGTTCAGTTTATTCCTTTGTCTGGTATTGTATACCGTATATTGTATGTCCGGTATTTGTCACCACTCCCTGTTGTGAGTGTTGCAGTAAATACGTATTACTGATAATTCCTTGCATTATAAATCCGTACATTTGTGAGTGAGCCTACCCGTGACACTAATTAACTAACTAAATATAAAATATTACATTAACATTAGGGATGCACTGTATTTTTGATAATGGCGGGCAAAGCGAGGCTTCACAAAACACTGAAACAGCTGAAGGAAACATGTCGAAGCTTCGAAAAGTTTCAAAACCCATCTCCACAGTGACACCTAGTAGTCATTTTTATGCACTGCTCTGGAAGCTTCAGCAAAGAAACTGTTGAGGTAAACAAATTAAGGAACTAAATCCCTTGTTGTAGAGTTGAGGTTTCAAGTGAGTTAGTGAAGCGGTGAGAGTTCCTGACTAGCATGGAGAGGTAATGGGTTTGAATCCAGGGTGAAGTTTTGTTTTAACATTGGTCTGACATCCGGATGAACAACTAAATATGTCTTTTGATCATAAAAGTAACATTATTAAATACATCGTCATAATTTCAGAAAATTCGGATTTCGAACTGGGGCCAATTACAGCACATGAAGTCTGCCCACTAAGCTACATGAGATTTTTTTCGACCCAGGTCTCAAAATGCTTCTGAAATAACTGATGCTTTGAATCGCTTAAGTCACGTGACTTGGTGCTTCAAAACACCCTAGTCACGTGACTTCATGCTTTGGTGCAGTGTTTCGAAACACTTGCGCTTCAGAATCTCGACACTGTGTCAAAACATTAATTTCATGCGAGTCATTACTAATTTTAACCGCCGAATATTATTGGCCAATAAAAAAGAAACACGCTGGTTTTAACCTCGCTCTAGCTATAAACATATGCTATAAACAAAGAATGAAGTGGCTTTCACACATGAAGTGAAAAGTACTGTGCTACGAAAGCAATGCAAAAGCCGGATTGTTGCTGCATCGACCAAAAAGCAAAAGAGTTAAATTTACAGAATTAAGTCTTAAGTCTTACAGAATTACATTATATAAAAAAATAATAAAGGGATAAGTCGAAAAGAAAATGAATGATTGAATATTAAAATAATAAATAATCAGAATAAAGTAATTTCGATTTTGGTTTTCGGCCCAGAATTTCTATTTCGATGCATCCCTAATTAACAATACAATGAAACTAATAAAAGTGAACAGAAGCCAAAAACATTTTTCGATTTCAAGCTGATAATTACATGCAATCGGAGCAGTGCAAAAAAGGTGTGGCAAAAACACAAGACAAGCCTTGAGAAAAAGTGTGTGTGAGGAGAGCAAGATGCTTCAGAAGAAAAAGGGAGTGTGTGGAGCTGTTGTCAGTAGGAAGATGCAGACATGCAGCACAGAAAATCTGCTTTTGTTTAATGACCTCATGATGGAGTGTGTAACCTTGCCCTTCACTGCCTGTGAAGTTTTTCATCACAGTGCAGTGTGTGAGAGCCAAGGAGAGTCCATGTGTGTGTGTATGAGACGACTAGGGGCAAGCAGTGTGTAATATATCATTTCTTTAGTGTGTGGGAGAGTCCTATTTCTCACGATTCACTGACACAACCTGACACACACCCAGCACTTCCGAAAAGGTAAATAAAAAAAACTCAGCTACATTAGGAAGTCTGTGAAATATTCCAAAGCTATACATGTGGCAGTGTTATTTTAGTATTATCTATATTCTATTACAGCATTTATGAAGATTTAAATGAAGGTTTAATTAATTTTCCTTATAATAAAGTGATGCAGTTATGTCAGAATGCAGAATAATTACAGTATTTGATGTGGGTTCCCTCAAGATTTTCTTATGATGTTTTTCTAATGGAGATTTCCAATTAATCAGTGAAATAAGGTCTGTGTCTGTCAACGATACTTCAGTGTTTTGTCATACAACTTAAATGTAGTGTTAAGTTTACTCTCAAGTTATTATTACCACAGACATTTGAAAACCCCATTGGTAAATCTTGAGGGAACCCATGGTGATGTCATGTAGTTTTAGTGAGTTTTTATTTTAATTTGTTTTCTTAAAAAACACCTTTGATGAAAGACAGTTTGGACAGAACTGTGAGTAGGTATAGTGTGTCCACAAACATATTGGGGTAATCTAAAGACAACAAGTCTCTTTTTTTAAAATGTACTGATGTTAAAATAGGATCCAAATCCTTCCCATTTTGAGGCTGACCACAACGTGACAGAGGAGTGCGATTTCCCCTCTCAGCGATTGGATTGGCAGCCGCATATTAACATGTCTCCATAGAAACGCGTATAATCATATCAACAAGACAGGATGTGCACTAAGCAACTGCTATTTAAAGATCTGTTTAGCTCTCTGTGATTATCAATTATAAGCAAATGCAATCAAAAATGAGTTTTACAAGTTTAAAAAGTTGTTAAAACAGTGCATGTTTGTAATAAATTACAGCGATTTTACAGTTTTTACTTTATCACCACAGCCGCATGTCAGTACAATTCTAAAAGAAGACACTTCAACCCCAATGTGTGGACATTAATTCAGGTTTATTTTGTACATTAACATAACGATATCCATTCAGCAGTGGATATTAACGTGTATCCTGTCACATTTGCCGTGCAAAAACAGTGCAAAGTTAAATTCTCTGACTTTGCGTGGACTTTGTAACAACATTGTGTGTGACTCATCGTTGCAGAAAGGCTTAACTCTACAACAAATACATCAAATAATCATTGGGAAAGTTCTTACTGTTGTATTTCTCACAAACGTTATGTAAGATCTGCTTCCTTTATGTCTGTCACTGTGCTGTTTATCTGACGCAGCCAGAGATTGAGGCATGTGGGAAGGGTGGGCGGGGAGAACTAGCATTAAAGCAACAGGTAACCAAAACAGCTACATTGTGTTCATTGCAGAAAATTCCAATACTCTGAAAAGTATCAAATAATCTGCTGGGTGTTTTGAGCTGAAACTTTACAGACACATTCTGGAGACATGAAAGACTCATCTTAAATCTTGAAAAAGGTAAAACAGGTAGCCTTAAACACATGTATATAATTCTAATTAACATTTATTTTCGGATTTCTTTTTTAACAGTGTTAGTACTTTATCTTAAACTTACGATATGATGTTTTTATGTCTGTTTTTCATATGATTTTAAAATATTTTTAGTTTTATCAAAAATCAATTGATATTAACACTGATGGATGCATGGATGCATGGTTTATTGAGCAAAGTTGTTCAATTATATGATTATTTAATTAATTATATAAATTAATTTGATTGTAGGGCAACGCAGTACAGGTGAATTGGGTAAGCTAAATAGTCCATAGTATATGATTGTGCATGGATGTTTACCAGAGATGGTTGGAGCTGAAAGGGCATGCGCTACGTTGAATATGTGCTGGATAAGTTGGTGGTTCATTCCACTGTGGCGACCCCGGATTAATAAAGGGACTAAGCCGAAAAGAAAACGAATGAATGAGTTTGATTGTCATGCAATAATGTGCATCTTTTGAACAGCTTCTATGAAACAATAAATATTGTAAAAAGTGCTATACAAACAAACTTGAGTTGAATTAAATAATAATTTCTAATCAATCTTACTATTTTTTTCTGGAAGATGTTAGGCAAAAAAAAAAAAGATTTGCATCGAAGGAACAACTTTAGCCACAGTCTTAGCTATCATTTAGAGCTCAGTAAACACAAACACTGCTG